AGAGAGAGAGAGAGAGAGAGAGAGAGAGAGAGAGAGAGAGAGAGAGAGAGAGAGAGAGAGAATGGACCTGCGAGAATGCAAATAAATCTCTTCTGGGGTCTAGTTTGAGGAGAGCAGGTGGAGGCAGGGTCAAAAAAAGGGGTTGGAGGATGGGGGCGGCTTTACCCGTATCACTGGACTCGTCAATGGCTTTCTTTTTTGCCAGAAGTGAGGAGTTAACACGAAGAAGAATCTTTAGACATGCAACAAGAACAGGTTGCCAAGCAACCAAGGATGTCCCAGAATTCGCGGCACTCCGGGCATGGACAGAGGTCTCCTTACACATCCAATTGAATGTGAGAGTTGTAGAATTTGGTTCGCCAGCTTTGATGTGTACTTTTGGAAGCGGAGATATAGAAACAGGAGGATCGAATTCTGAGCCCGACGAGAAATCACAGCTTTAGCGGCATGAGAGCAGGGCTCGCAGGTTGTATTTGCTGGCACTACAGCAGGGTACTTGGGCCGGGCGGACGTGGAAGGGGGGGGGTGGGGGGGAAGGGGCCGCAAGAAGAGGTCATGTCAGGCATTTTTCTGGGCAGTCGTTTGAGTCTTTGTATATAGACTAGTGTTGGTTAGCTGCTTGGTACTCCGACGACTGTGAAATTGCATATTCTTCAGAGGAGAGCCTGGGACCAAGGATAATCACGGTAAGGAGTTCCGTAGTTACTGTGTCCATACCGTACAAGATAAGGAGGAGAGGAAAAGGGCGGGGGAAGGGGAGCGAAGTTGTGTCTGGCTTCGTTATCGCAAGGTGGAGTGGATGTTCGAGGGTCGTTTAAGGAATCGACCACGCGCACATGTCTGCAATGAAGACTAGGTACGGCTCTACCTTTCAAAGGTCTTCACTGGTCTGGGGCAGGGCTGCAGACCATTGCCTATGAGATTGGAGTGATGGTCCTGTGCGAAGAGCGACAGAAGGTACTCGTCAAGTTTGGCGCATCCAGGGCCTGTTTCTATGGCCTTCTGCCGGAAGGGGCCTGTGCGAAGAACGACCCCACTGCCCCCAGAGGCAACTTCCCAGGGTACCCATGAACTTCAGCGCATGCAGGACCTTATTCGATGCCGTTCCGCCAGAAGGGGACCAGGTACGTCGGTCAACCTTTACATTCCATAGCCCCGAGACCCCTTGGATTGTTGCATACCTGTCTGGCAAGGAATGCATTCAGTAAACAATGATGATGAACCTCACAACAATGATGATGAACCTCACAAAGAAAAATACCTTTATATTCCATGGCCCCGAAACACCTTGGATTGTTGCATACCTTGATGAACTTCATGACAATGATGATCAACCTCACAAAGAAACATTCCAGTGCACAGGCCGCACGTCTGTTTCATAGTTCCTAGCCGTGTAGTTTCCAGCCATGCCGGGCTTGCAGGCACCCGAGGCCCTGAGGGTATTACTAACTTGGCCAGGCTTGGTGCAAACCAGGATGTCCCATAAAGCAGTGAACAGTGAACAGTGGCCAATATAGGGCTGTCTTTGTGTGTATATGTGCGTGTACATGTGTGTGTGTGTGTGTGGGTGTGTGTGGGTGTGTGTGTCGTCATATTCGCTGTACGCAACTCCACAAAGAAAAACATGATTGTGCCAGACTGTTTTGTCGGACTTTCACCGACTCATGAGGAGGTTGGGGTGTGTGTGTGTGTGTGTGTGTGTGTGTGTGTGTGTGTGTGTGTGTGTGTGTGTG